AGGCACAGTATAACAGTTATTTCCAACTATTCGGTCAGACAAGAGTACTCCAAGAGTTGGCGGCGGATGCGCAGATAGCCCTTGTATAGCCTAACAGGAAAATTTTAAACAAACATTTACAGGTACTCTATAGCACTGACATGTTCTCCAGTTATATGAATATCAGTACTACTGTTCTTTAAACCGAAGACATTATATTTGGTCTGTTACAATTCTCATTTAATTGTGGGTATTTTTTGTAAATGGTTTCATTACTTGTATTATTATTTCATTTTGAAAAATGTGAACTTTAAAGATTTCAATGATGCCCTGATAATTTTTTTATGCTAATATTCAGGCCCCTTTCAGTTTTTGTCGAAATAATATAAAAATTAGATATAATTTTAGAAGCTAGCAGTTTTTATAAAGTCCAGGTAATTTTGTAATTTGACAAATAAAAGCCTAATAAATTTTGCATTTTTTTTGCGCCACACAAAAACATTTTCGCCATATTCTTCATTTAGATTAACTGCTCAAAAGCTGGATTATATATATTTATAAATTCTTGTTGAGTGTTACATAAAGCAATCAACTTCTAGGTATTTGTTTGTTTTGAATTTAGCGCAAAGCTACACAAGGGCTATCTGCACTAGCCGTCCCTAAGGCAGCTAGTCTTCACCACCCACCGCCAACTCATGGGCTACTCTTTTACCAACAAATAATAGGATTGACCGTCACATTATAACGCCCCCACGCCTGAAAGGGCGCGCATGTTTGGTATGACGGGGATTCGAACTCGCGACCCGCAGACTGCGAGTCGAGCACCCTAACCACCTCGCCATGCTGTGTACTTGTTAATGTTTGCAAGTAACCTAAAAAAATAAATAATATCCACTTATGTGTTCAATATAAAAAGTTAGGAATAATAGCTTGTGAAGATATTTAACGTTCGAGTTTGTTGTTAAACACAAAGCTACGCAATGGGCTATCTATCCTCTGCCAATCGAGACTCAGTGTTAGCGTTATAAGTCCTCAGACTTACGGTTGAGCCACCGAGTAGTGGGCAGATATTTAATATCAATTGTTCATTTTAGAATAAATAAAAAGTTGTAATGAGATACAAAGGAAGGTAATTCTAAATACTATGCGTTTGCTTAAATGTTATTCAACAAATAGTACATATTTGTTATTAAATCCGATTTGTAATGCTTTTGATGTAGAACAAGCTGAAACCTAAGATCAGGATAAATGTAAATAAATCACTTACTTAAAATAAGAATAAGAGCCTGATCTAGTATTCTAAATACTTTAATTCGTGTGTTAAACTAAAAAACAAGAGCCGTTTTTCCTTTACGATCTGTTTAAGGATTGTAAAAACATTGAAACTAGATCCATTAGAATTGTTAACTTAAAACGGCGATAAAATTAAACACGTAATGTCGTTTTTTACAGTTTTACAAAAGGTTTTTTATTTACGTTGGTTTTGAGTTTTTTTTTCTGGAAATTATTTTTCGTATATTTAGGCTGGTTTGGAAACTAAGACGTGAAAATGTTTTTTATTATTCTATTTTTCCTGAATAACTCAAAACACTTTTAGAATAATAAAACTGGAATCTTAAGCTCATGTTGATAAATTTTACTTAAACTGCTTTAAAAGTTTTGGGATTTTGTTTATCCATCAACAGATCAAAACAGTAACTGTCAAACTTTTAATTGTGGTTTAGAATTGAAAAGCAATAATTATATATGGAATAATGACACATTTGGCACGGAAAAAATATTGAAGTATTTAACTTTAGAGCTATTCAGACATATAAGTATCCCAACAAACACTAAGAAATATGATTACTTTGGATCTAAAAGAAATCTGACACTTAAATCTGATGTACAAACTATCCATTTCAAATGATATTAGTTATTGACACGAGGCTTAGGATTAGTTATTACCAATTCTTAGTTAGCTTAGTTGTGATTGGACGAGGTGAACATCAAAAACGCATCTAATTCGTTGAAAAGCTAGTTATTTAGTAGATTTGTTTATTTCCCAAACAAGATGTGCATTGATATGTGTATATTTTTTTAGATATTATTGTAACATAAAGCGTGTGTTTTTCTATATTAATTCTTACAACATACGGTAAAAATTATTTCTGAAAATGCGTTGATTTTTAACTGGCGTGTCTAATACCATCAACACAGCTTTGCATCATGACCTCGTCAATAACAGTGGCCCAAAATAAGTATTGTTTGTGGCACGAGCATGAAACAAATTGCTAATAAGTCGATTTTATTCTCGGAAAACACTGTACGTTTCAGTAAGTTTAAGCCACACCCAAGCATAACGAAATGAAAGCGTGTGAAAGTAGCTTAAATCAGAAACGAAACAAAAATCAGTCGGGTAGAGAAGCAATAAAGAAGATAATAAATTTCGGACTTTATTGAAGTGACAGAGAAAGCCCAATATAGTTGATACCAAGAAGGTTTTCTTTTATTCCCACTCCCATTAAATGGCAAAAAGAGATTGAATGTCATTCTCTGTTCATCGGTTCCATTAGACGTGTGTGACAGAAGGGTATGGTGTCGAGATTAGACTTGATTAATGGACCCCAAAGCTGAAAGAACAAAAAAAATAAATAAATGAGGAAATGGAAAAAAAATGCTACAATATATTTAAAATACTAGATACATTATAATGAAATAACTCTTTATAAAAACAAAATTATGCGGTATTTTCTAGCGTATCGTAAAAAAGATTAATTATACTTGTTTTCCCAAAATGTGAGTTAGACTTATATTGTTTTTTATTTATAAAAAATGAGATCTTACTCAAAAAAAAATCTCCAAGGTGTCTTCTTTGGCGTAATGACATATTCACAGAAATGTATTCAGGTACACTGACAACTTTCCAGGTAAAAACAGCAATAGCAATTACTGTGGATATGACAGTAAACATGACACAGAGTTGAAAGTAAATTTCTGACATGACTGACTTGAAGGAAACAACTGAATACAATGTTAAACAAAGTGAAAAATCAGTCTATATTTTTTCGCAACCCAGTGCAAGATTTGTGCACATGATACAGACACGCCACTACTTTTTGGATCTAAAGAGGGTTCTGAATCAGAATAAATAATTATTAAGACTGAGAGAACTAACCATTACATACTCCTTATAATATGGTCAATTTTCCTAAAGCGTATTTACCACCAACGTCACTTGTTCTTTCGCTAAGTTACAGTAGAATGAGCACATCTTTCAAGTGTTACTAAACGGCCGATTCTACTAGACAATATTACAGTACAAGACTACATGATTCTCCAGTGATACCTTCCTTGATAAGGTTTCATAACACCCAAAGGGAAATAAGCAATGAACATTTGTAACCAACTTGATAATAAGGTTAAGATATTCCATAATCGATTGAACTGAACGTCGAACACAATACATTCGATGGACGAGTATACGAGAGAAAATTTTGAAAATGTTAGTGAACTAAACATGTTCAACGTACTAAATAAAATATAATGAAAACGGAGTGCTTTCTTGAATACTCTCTCTATATATATATAAGTATTCCGTTGCCATAAAAAATTGTGTTCAATAAGTTTTAATCTAAACAACACCATATGGACGCGCGAGATAAAGGCCAGGATCAGAGACCCCTAGGATTCAGGCATAGCCGTCCTTAATTTTGAACTACTGACCAGAGGGAAGGCAGCCAGCAGGACCCACTATCAAAAAGGTTTTGTCCGGCTTTTCAACCTAATAACAGAAGTGGCTGTCACTTTTATAACGCACCCACAGCTATAAGTGCGAAACATAGTGAGCGGAACCATGGACTTATGAATTTATAGTCCGACACCCTAAACATATAGACAATATATTCATCAATAAGATACAGCACATTAGACGCCGAGGAGACATGACAAACACACAGAAACCTAGAAGCTACAATACACTTTAGTTTTGTTAATATATAGTTTAAAAAACAACACCTATCTGACTTTCACTTATAACATTAATCGTTCTATTTTCTTTTTTTCATTTGAACCTGTACATCCAAACAGAATTTGTTTCATTCTACAAATTTTGATTGAGGTTTGGTAAAGATTATTATTACATATCTTTTTATTTTACCTTCTTACAATGTCTTTTAATTACTGAACGAAACTATGATTAATCTAATTTAGTTGAGTTTGTTTGTTTGTAATTAAGCACAAAGCTACATAATAGGTTACCTGTACTCTGCCCACCACCGGTATCGTAATCTGGTCTCTAGCATTGCAAGTCCACAGACATACCGCTGTGCCACTGGCGGCAGTTGTCAAAAGAAGTAGAGAGATTTATCCTCATTCCTTGAAGATTGGTGAATCAGGTTCATAGAACTTCCACCACCTTGAACTATAATTTTAATAATATTGTTATTACTTTTTTTTCAATTCAATCAGATTTAATTAAGTTTAACGAGCTTCCACCCCAATCATCTTATATTAATAAACGTTTCACTAATAAGTTAAAATATATAAACATTTAATACTTAGATCTAATATTACTAAAATGAATAGACTAAAATTATATTAAAATTGTTTTTCTTTTTGTTAAAATCTAAAATAAATATATAATATATAAATTATATATATATATATATAATGTATTATATTTATCACTTAAATTAAAATGTATATGAAGTTAAAAATCCAACAAATTAATTAATTAATTTATTTATTTATTTTATTTTAAGTTATAAAAATAGCTTCTTTATCCATAACAATATAAATTTAATGGAGAGATATATTTATTATCTCTTCTGAACATTGTTTTATCTTTATTTTCTTTTAACAAGTAAGAATTCATGTTTTTTCGTTGTTGTTTTTTGTAATATTCTTGAGTAAGGTATTTCAACCTTTGATCTAAAGTTGGAATTGAAAATTGTTGATGCAAAAATTTTATAGATGTGTTTATAGAGAAATTTGTAGCCAAATGTAAAACACTGTTTTGCAACTTTTTTTAATTATGTAAGTTTACATTTGACCATGAGCAAGCTGCATATTCAAAAATGGGTCTTGTGTAAGCTTTATAAATTTTATTTATTGTTCTACTGCTAAAACCTCCTTGTTCGGTTATTATTTTTAAGCTATTATATCCACACTATCCTTTTCTTACCAAGTTATTTATGTGTTCCTGCCACATTAGTTTTCTGTCAAAAGTAATACCCAAGTATTTAACATTTTCTTCTTGATTAATATTTGTATCACATATTTTAACTTGAGCTTTTTAATTTCATTAATATTTTGCTTAGATATATTATTTTTCCTGTGAAAAATAATAAATTTGATTTTATCCAGATTTAAATATATCCTTCAAAGTTTACACCATAATTCTAGAACTATTATTTCTAACTGTAGATTTTATATTATTATTGGCACAGAATGGTTAGTTACCCAATATGTAATATCATCTGCATATTTTGCTATATTGATGCAACCTTTATTAGTTTCCAAACATGGTATATCATTAGTATACAAGTTAAATAGTAATAAAAATAGTACCATTCTTTAAGGAATTCCTAAATCCGGTGAATTACAATCAGATAAATCTTTGTTTATTTTAATTTTATTTGATTTTCCTTTAATGAAATTATTCATCCAACTAACAAAAGTATAAGGCAGACTGAAATCATTAATTAACATATATATTAACCCATTATGCCAAATCTTATCAAAGGTTTTCTCAGTGTCTAATAGTATTGCATCAGTAAGAATTTTATAATTAAAACCATTTACTATGGACTCAGTAAGTCTAGTTAAATGACCTGATGTTTAATGGTATTGTCTAGCACAAGCTTGATAGAGGCTTAACTTATTAGCTTTTTCTAACAAATCTAATAATTTATTGTTTATAGTTTTTCAAATATTTTATACAAACAACTTGTTAGACTAATGGGTCTGTCACTACAAGGAGAGTTTTTAACTTTGTTTGGTTTTAAAATCATAATGATAATACTAGATTTTCATATTTTAGGAATATATACCCTGAGTTATAGGATAAAGTAAACAAATTAGCCATTTTTTATATATTTTTTCTTACAATTTTTAACATATTATATTGTATATTATCTAGTCCTGGTGAAATATTTTTAATATCCTTTAAAACTTTCATTATTTCTGTAGGAATAATATTATTATTATTTTTTAAAACTTAGATGGTTATCTTCTATAATACTATTTTCTTTCATATTTATAAGGAATATTGGATTTAATCTATCATCATTTTTTATTCTCTCATTTACGCACTTACCCTTTATTATTAAATTTATAATTTGGACTATCTTTAGTAATCTCTTTCTTTATATCTTTAAATAAAGAAACTTTTTTATCTGTTTTAGCTGTAGCAATATTCAATACAATATCTAAATCTTTACCTCTTTCAACATTATCATTTATATATTTTTATACTTTATCCAAAAATATTTTGTATAATTTCCTTTATCTAAATCCATACAAACATTTTGGAAATCTTTAACTTTCTGATTTATAATTAATTTTTTAACATGTTTTTGTTGTTTATCATACAATTTTTTGAAGTATGAATTATGATTTTTCATCATCATTCTTCTAACTCTTCTTTTTTCTTTAATTGCTATTTCTATATCATTAGTGAAATTCCATTAAAAAAATTTTTGGGGTACTATTTTGATAGAACTTGATTTGCTGCATTTCTGAAACTATTACCGATCAAATTCTTTAAATTGTTTCTCATTTTCAACTGACTCAAATTTATAGTTCTCTAAGTTTCTCATAAGTAATTCATTAAACTTGGACCAATCTGCTTTTTTTAAATTAAATTATTCTTTTTTATATTCATTAATTTTAATATTCTGAGTTTTGCAATAAAAATACTTGGTCACTATTAACATCAAGTCCTACTTCAAAATCTGTAGTATAAGAGTAAAGTTTAACTGTAGTTCAAATGAAATCTAATATGTCAGAGTTACCAGTTCTATTATCGGTATGAGTATGTTGACTGTCATTTAAAGTAATTAAATTAAATTTATTTATAATATTTAATAGATAATTTCCATTTTTGTTAGTCTGTTTACAACCAAAAGCTAGATATTCATTATTGAAGTCACCAATTATTAACAAATTATAATTATAATTTAATCCTGTAAAAATATCATGATTTGTTTGTTTGTTTTTTGTAAAATATAAATATTAGCAACTGTAATTTTAATATCATTTAACCATATATATCTATCTCTAAAATTTCACTGTCAGTTACATTTGTAAGTGGCACCAATTCTGATTTAACATTGTTGCTTACTAAAGCCATTAGACCTAGTGTATATTTATCAGTAATTCTATCTTTCGATAAGTGGTGAAACGCTTAGGGCTAAAGGAGACATGATACACACACAGAGAGAGAAACCTAGAAGTTACAATACACTGTAGTTTTGTTAATATATAGTTTTAAAAAACCACCTATCTGACTTTCACATCAATGTGAATGACTGTAACATCAATCTTCTCTTTTCTTCATTTGAACCAGTACATCCAAAAAAAAATACTTTAATTCTACAAATTTTGAATGAGGGGTTGGTAAATATTTTTACCTATATTTTTATTTTACCTTCTTACAACGTCTTTTAATGACTGAATGGAGCTATGATTAATCTAATTTAGTTGTCAGGAATTTGTTTCTAATTAAACACAAAGCTACATAATGGGTTATCTGTGCTCTGCCCACCATGGGTATCGAAACCCGGTTTCTACCGTTGTAAGTCCATTGGGGCCAGTTGTCAGGAGAATAGTGGCAGAGCTCTCGATTTTGAAGCTGACGAGCCAGATTCGAATTCGCATAATACCACAATGCTACAAAAGTTACGCGAAGTTGAATATTTTGATGCGTTATAAGAAGGGTAATCAATCCCTTAGCATGGGTGGTAGGGTGCTGCTGACTGTGTGCTTTCCCTTTGGTCAATAGTTCAAAATTAGGGACGTCGGCAGAGAGATAACCATATAGTAGCTTTGCCGTAAAATACATGTTTCCACTCTTTTATGATTAACTTTGATCCCGTCGTGTATTTTGGAATTAATAGGAGTTTAACATGATACTCATATTAATACAAGTGTACTTACTGTGTATATTTATATCTGTTACGTATTTACTGTTTCTATCCACCTATTCATTCAACAAGGAGAAATAAAATTCGTTAGTTTTACATTAGTATCTCTCATTCTGAAGAGCCACGAGTTAAGCAACTATATCCTTATTGTAATTTGGAACAAAAAACAGGAAAACCACTGAAAAGAAATCGATTAATATATCAGTTGAACTTTTTAATAATACGATGTATTTTACTCCTCTCATTAAAATTTAATAAAACACTTCATTAAGGATATTTTTAATGTATATTATATACATATATATCTGTTTGTATTCTGAAAACGTAATTATTGATCGTATTCTGTTATAGTTTCATTAAAATGCTCCGTTTTCAACGACACAAAAAGATGATTTTCCTTAGCAAAGAAATAAGAAGTAACAGCTCTTAATTACTCTTTTTTATATGTAAGCCATTAATCACATCCATTGTTAATAACCTCTGTACCATACCTCGGGGTATTTTATTTAAAAGCTAATAGTCATCTGTGCTGATTTTGATTTGCATATATATATATATATAAGCATTTCTCTCTATAGATAATCTTCAATATAGAAAATGAGAGTGATTTTTTTATACAGGAACACATGCGTGACGAATATATTTTATATATAAATACATGTCGATTATATTTTACAACGGAATAAGTACGTGTATTTAATATTCTAGATGGAAACACGTGTGTTGATAATAATGTAGATTGAAAAAACACCTACATGCCAGTAATATATATATAGAAGTGTAAGATATTTTTAAATATAAAAATTGGGAAGTAGAAATGAGAGCACCAAAAAGTAAGGAACAAGGTAGGAATGAGCAGAATGACGTTACAATAATTGGTGTTTTTTTACATGGTATCACCTCAAAGTGGGTGTGGCCATCGTTTCGCCCATTCCTACTTTGTGTGCTTTTTGTCACATTAAAGGTGTTTATAGTTAAACCTCTCTGTTGTAAACTTTGTTTCAGCAACCAAGTACAGACACAAGTATGTACTAAAATTACGTGACTCTGAGGAAATGCATGACATCAAGTTTGATGTCGGAAGTGAATCAGGAAGCTTCAATAGTCATACTTTGCATAAGGAAGACATTATAACTATCTGATTGGTAAGGGGTGGGCCAAAAGAATAGTAAGAAAACCGCTGATTTTTGAAATTTTCTAACTTGTTGAGTATTTAGAAAGGATTAGCTATTGATAAAACTCAATTCAAGTCTATAATTGGATCAAAGTTCAAAGT